TCAATCTTCGATTCTTTTTATTAGTCTTTGCTTTTCTTTATAGTTTTGCTGCATTTGTATCTATTGACAATATATGGTTTGTTTTGCACGTTTTTTTAACCTTATAGAAATTAAATTATCTGCATGTATTGTCCAGATCATGGTTCTGGGATTCAACCATGTTGTTACATTTTTACTTCTGTATAATATTCCATTGTATGAATATACCATTGTTTATATTCTATTCTATTATGGATGGATATTTCTGTTCTTCTAATTTTTGGCTATTCCAAATAATCCTGCCATGAATATTCTCTTACATGTCTCCTTAAATCATATGGAAAGATTTCTATAGGTTATGTATCCAAAAGTGAAATTATGTATCATGGGATATGTACATCTTCAACATTACTGGCATTGCCAAACTATTTTCTAAAACAGTTGTTTTTAACAATTTACAGTATTACTACACCCTTGCTTAACATTCTTGCCAACACTAAGAATTGTGTGACTTTTAAATTTCTGCTGATGGTAAATGTGAAATGATATTTCATGGGTGTTTTAATTTGCATTGTCTGATTACTGTTGAGTTTGAGCATCTCCCCCATTTTTCTATCAGGTTGTCTGTCTTCTCAAAGATTTGTAGTTCTTCATATACTCTTATACTAGTTTATTGTCAGTTATATGTGTTTCAAATATTTTATCCCACTCTGACTTGCCATTTCAACTCCTTATGCTATTTTGCAATAGGATTTTTTAGCTTTGCTGCAGTTCAACTTATCAATCTATGGTTTGCACACTTTGAGTCTTAGTTAATAAAATATTTTTTAATTTGAAGGTCATAAAGGCATTCTCCTTTGTCATCTTCTACATACTTTATACTTTTGACCTTCACATTATGAAATATCTCATATTGCATCTAGTGGGTATGGTTTGATGTAGGCATCCAATTTCACCTATTTTCAAATGGATAACCATTTTTGCCCAGCACTATAGATTGAAATTATTCTTTCCCCATTGATCCACAGTGCAGCTTTATCATTAATAAATAGTAATGATATTACTAAATAGTAAATAGTCCATATATAGATTTCTCTATATATGGACTATTTACTCTGTATCTTTTTTCTATTTGCTTATTCCTGTGCCATTACAAAAATGTCTGTTATAACATTATAAAATGCCTAAAATATGTCTAAAATATGCTTGATATCTAGTTAGAGAAGTCCTTTCCCTCTGTTTTTCTTCTTCTGGAGTGTCTTAGCTATTCTTGGCATTTTGATTTTCTTAACTATTAACATCAGTATGAAAAGTTCTTTTTAAAAACAATTGATAGGGCCAGGTGTGGTGGCTGACACCTGTAATCCTAGCACTCTGGGAGGTCAAGGTGGGAGGATTGCTTGAGCTGAGGAGTTCCAGACCAGCCTGAGCAAGAGCAAGTCCCCGCCTCTACCAAAACTGGAAAAAAAAAATAGCCAGATATAATAGAGCACATCTGTAGTCTCAGCTACCCAGGAGGTTGAAGCAGCAGAATCGCTTCAGCCCAGGAGTTGGAGGTTGCAATAAGCAACCATGGTGCCACGCTAATGCACTCTACCCGGGGCAACAGAGCGAGACTGTCTCCAACAACAACAAGAAGAAATAAAAAATAAAAACAGTTGACTAAAAAACCCTGAAAACGAAAAGAATTGAAACTTTCATTTCGAATTGTATTGAATCTATAAATCAAGTTAGGGATGTAAACATTTTCTAGGTCTGCCATAACAAAATGCTATGGACTTGGTGGCTTAAATAACAGAAATTTATTTTCTCAGAGTTCTAGAGGCTAGAAGTCCAAGATCAAAGTATCAACAGGCTTGGTTTCTTCTGAGGCGTCTAACCTTGGCTTGCAGATAGCCAGCTTTTCTCTGTGTCCTTATCTGGTCATTCCTTGGTTTGTGTTGTCTGTCCATGTCCTAATCTCTTCTCATAAGGACAACTCTCAGATTGGATTAGGGCCCACTCCTATGACTTCATTTTACCTTAGTTATCTCTTTAAAGGCTCTATCTCTAAATATAGTCACATTCTGAGGTATTGGGGTTATGATCTCAATATATAAATTTGGAAGTGGGGAACACAATTCAGCCCATAACAGGAGAGCACTGATATTTTTCCAGTATTGAACCTTCCAAACTCATGAACACAATTATATCCATTTTCCATTGATTTTTATATCATTTAATGTCTTTTAATGAAGTTGATCATTCTCCATAGAGGTGTTGAACATTATGTTAAGTATTCCTTCATTTATTTAATCATATCCCACTTCCTCCCCTCTGCACTATGGTTCATGACCCAGAAGGTTAACATCAATGGATTCCATCAAAGGGCTCTTTTGCCTTCTACTCTCTTGCTAGGTTTAAGCAATGGGAAGCATGGGAAGATCTCAGGACATCTTCATTCCTCTACTTCCCCACTGCTGGGCTGATGATGGTTGGCAGCAGTTGTGTTCCTCTACTGACTACTGCAGCTCTTTTTTTTTTTTTTTGAGACAGAGTCTCGCTTTATTGCCCAGGCTAGAGTGAGTGTTGTGGCGTCAGCCTAGCTCACAGCAACCTCAATATCCTGGGCTCAAGCAATTCTGCTGCCTCAGCCTCCCAAGTAGCTGGGACTACAGGCATGCGCCACCATGCCCGGCTAATTTTTTCTATATATATTAGTTGGCCAATTAATTTCTTTCTATTTATAGTAGAGACGGGGTCTCACTCTTGATCAGGCTGGTTTTCAACTCCTGACCTCGAGCAATCTGCCCGCCTTGGTCTCCCAGAGTGCCAGGATTATAGGCGTGAGCCACCGCGCCTGGGTGAGATTTATTCCTATGTGATTTGTAACTCTTGATGCTGTTTCATATGGCATATTTTAAAATTGCATTCTGTTGTTGCTAATGTATAGAAATGTGATTACTTTCATTGTACTTTTAAAAAAATCCAGTAACCTAGTCACTGTACTCCAGCCTGGGCAACATAGCAAGAGCCTGTCTCTCTCTCTTTTTTTAATCTGGTAACCTTGCTAAACTTTCTTATTAATTGCAATAATTTAGATTCCTTTTTGTTTTCTTTATATACAATCCCATGAATCACAGATTTATAACTTTTTTTCCAACATTTATGCCTTTTTGGATTATCTGATTATATAACAATGCTTTATTGAATGTTGGTAGCAATTATCCTTGTCTATACCCAGCCTAATAGGGAATGCTTTTGGTGTTTGTCTACTAGGTGTGGTGTTTCTTTCAGATAGTTTATTAGGTTAAAAAAATTCCCGTCTACATCTAGTATCTAAGAGTTTTTATAAATGAACGCTGAATTTTACCAAAAAGTTTTTACACATCTTTAATGAGTTTCTCCGTTAGTCTTTATATTAATTATAATTGAAGTCATCTGTCTTCTAATATTAAACTGACTTTGAAGCCCAAAAATGATCTTTAGATATTTATAATAATACTCTTAGAACTCAGAATCCAAGTGAGTAGAAATCAATACATTCTTTAGAGCCAAAGTAGGTACCATAGTTATTGCTCATTGCTACATACAAGGAACAGTAAATGAACACATATTAATATTTAAGTGACCCATTGTGTTTTAACTTGAGTACGTCTCTTATTTATCTCCATCAGTAATGTAGCAATATACTTAATCAGTAAATAATTATTTGCTGAGAATTCACTGAATACCATTCACTTTTCTGGCACTAGAGTATAAATAACAAAGCCATAACATGCATTGCCATTAAGGATCTCAAGTGTGAGTGGTGTGTGTGTGTGTGTGTGTAAGTGAGAAAGAGAGATGATGGGGTGAGGTTGGCTCAGAGTAGGAGTAGAACACAAGGAAATGAAAACAATTAACACTGTAGGTGCTATACCATAATTGAATGAACAGGTGCTAAGGAAAAAGAATGGAAACACATTTCAAATTCCCATTCAAGTTATTTGACTTGAATCTTAAAAGAATGATTGGAGTTTGCTGCAAAAAGCTTAAAGAAACATTCACAGACATTTGTGTTGATTAAATACTTATTAGTTTATACTAAGACCTTCTGCCACTGGGGATAGTGACCAAAACACAAAAATCTCTGCTATTCTGGACTCACACTCTAACATTAAAAGAAACAACTTGCCCAGAGAAAGAGCCTTTCCTCCTTAGGAAAACTTCTGTATGAACAATCAAACGAATGGTTCTGGTTGTTTCCCAAAGCAGCATCTGTTGCAGTGGGTTGCCTTTAGGAAGACATAACAGAGCCTCTATTTATAGTTTTTAGATTCTTTTGATATTTGTCTATGCATTATAATGTACATGTATGTAATTTGCAAATTATTATCCACATATTGGGAGTGTGGGCTCAAACTTCACTGAGTCATTAAAAAAAAAAATGCGGAGTGTACTATTCTAGAGTCCTCCGAAGTGCTCCAAGGAGAAAGCAACTTGAAATTAATTCCATTTAAAGCCACATAACCTAACACTCATGCCTAAAACGCCAGCAATATACAGGAAAGTTACACAGCAGAAGGGATTGCTGGAGAAATTAATTTCCTTAAGGGTCTTACTTGTACACAAGCCCAGAGAAGCTGCCTATATAGCTTTTAACTAAAAAAAAAAAAATACAAAAAGGTTGCCAGGGGCAATGTTTGCAGGTTTGGGCTGCCAGTGGGAATGGCTCCGGTTTCTCTCTAAGATGTTCGGATGCTGAGCATGGTTGGACAGCTCAGCCTGTAACGCACAGCGGCCGCCATAGCGGTCCCGGGGCTTAAAGGGGTGGGAAGACCTTTTGGTCACCGCGAACTCTGCCGAAGAGCAAGGGCGTTCAGACGGGTTAGAGCTCAGCGCGAAAGACGCAGCCCCAAATCCCAGAGCGCCTCCAGAAGCTGTTCGCAGCCGGCGGCCGCAACCCGCCACGCGCCCGACGAACCACGAGCTCGCGCCTGCGCGTTCCTGTCCTTCTCCATTAAGTCTCCACTACTGGGCGAGCCCGCCCCCCCCGTGTATCGTCACTTCCGGCGGACGCTCTGCGTCGTTTGCTACGTCACTTCCTGCCGATACCGGTGTGGACGGTGTGGATCGTGGTGGGGCCGGTTCTCCGGTTCTCCCCCCTCCCCTACTTTCCTCCCTCCCTCCCTTACCCTCCCTCGGCGACTGTCGCTCGCCTGTCGCAGACTCCCTGACCCTTCCCTAACCCTTCCCTGACCTCGGTGCCGCCAGATTGGCCCCCTTTTCCTGTTTTCCCAGCGCAGCCCCAGTGTCAGGGCGGGGGGCCTTGAAGAGCCTGAGGCGCTGCAGCTGAGGAGAGAAAAGACGACGACGACGACCCTCGGCTCGCCAGCCCCATCGCTGGGTTCGCCGCCATGGCTATGAGGCAGACGCCGCTCACTTGCTCGGGCCACACGCGGCCGGTGGTTGATTTGGCCTTCAGTGGCATCACGCCTTATGGGTATTTTTTAATCAGCGCCTGCAAAGGTGAGCGAGGCCGCTGGGCCGGGTCCTCGACCGCTAGGACTGGGCTGAAAGGGATTGGGACCCCTCAGGCAGGGGTCTTCACCGTTGAGGTGAGGGCCAACACGGGTCTGGTGGGGAAAGGAGCGGTGTTACGGAATCCGCAGCTGGAGCGGAGAGGCCTCCTGACTTCCCTAAGTATTACTCCTAACGGAGGCCATTCCTCGTTTCATTTTTATTGCTGTTTCTGGGGAAACTGCACTGCACTGGCCTGTACGTTCTAGACATCAAACACTGTAAAATATCTTTGGGGGAAGGAGAAATTATGCCAGGCCGAACAATACCTTTACGAAGACGTTATCTCTTAATGTTAGCGGATATTCCTTTGTAGTGCTGGCCCCATTTTTCAACTAGGAAACCGAGGTTTAGGTTAAAAAGTATGTCCGTAATAAGACTCAAAGCTAGATTATTTTGACGCAGATGAGTATTCCTAGTGAGTCACAGGTATGTTTCGGAGAGAATGACCAATTCAGCTTTTTAGTTTATTTATTTCAGTATATTCCTTAGTGACCCTAGTGAGCGGGAGTAGTTAGACGACATGAACAATTCATTTTGTCATTCAATATAATCATTTTATGTTTGAATCTTAGATTTTAAGTAATCGGAACATCTAAATAACATTTTTTTAAAAAAAACGTTTTCTAGATGGTAAACCTATGCTACGCCAGGGAGATACAGGAGACTGGATTGGAACATTTTTGGGTCATAAAGGTGCTGTTTGGGGTGCAACATTGAATAAGGATGCCACCAAAGCAGCTACAGCAGCTGCAGATTTCACAGCGTAAGTGTAGCCAAAATGGCTAACTTTGGTGTTTACTGTGGATTATGTCTTGAAACAAATCAAAAACTTCAACCTCAGATATTTGTAAAATTCTGACTCAGTGGCTGCTATTTAGAACACATAATGTTTGATCTTACCCAGATTCCCTCTTGATCCTGTGTTGTTCTTTTCTCTCCAGTGGTTCTCAAAATTTTCAGAGGCTTAAATGGTTATTCTTTATGTCTTGACTTTGACCTGTGAATCTGCATTATTAACTACCACTCCAGATAATGAATATTGGTGATTTCTTTTACAAATACTCCTCTGCCTATACTCCTTAGTGATATCATACATTCATGGTTCCAGATTTTTATTTCACTCTCAGTTTTCCTTAACTGTCTTTAGACATATTTAAAACTGATTGTCTCCTAAACTCAATTGTTTATTTCCTAAGCTTTGAAAGGTTGAAATCTAAGTTATTTTTGATTTTTCCATTACTCTAGATTACCATCATCTTTTTCAATTCTGACAGCAAACTGACTATAATGTTTCTCCATGTATTTGCTGCTGCACTAGCTCAGGGTAATTTTTACCTCCCTACCAGGTCTGAGGATGGAGTACCCATCATCTTCCCCTCCCTCCCTTCTCTGATGTTCCTGTAGGTGATTCTGATGTATAGCCTTAGCGTCACTGACCTCAAAGATAAATTTCAGTTGTTTGCACTTTACAGTTTGGCCGCATCCTAGTTCATCAGCATGATCTTCTGGGTACTACACACCATAAACCCTACAGTCTACTTATACTAAACTTATTGTTGCCAGGGTGCACATTACCTGTTCTGACTTTTGGCTTTGAATATTTTATTAAACTGATTTGCAGTGACCCTTTTTTCTTTTTCAGGCATGTATCATAAGTCTTGGTATCTCCAGTTCCTACCTGTCTGTGTTTGTAACTTAGTAGACACTTTGGTGTTTAAACTAATGAAGGCAATGTCAAGAGCTATTGTACATGCATAGACTTTACAAGACTTAAGAGGCTAGAGAATAAATGTGGTCTTGTTGATTTTTTTTTTTTAACAGAATTTCACACTAAGCAACAATGGTAAATATGTTGCCTCCTTTGTTTTGAGCAAATTAAACATCCTAATTTTAGTATGAAAAAAATGAAGGCAGATTGATTGTGGTGATGGATACATGACTGTGTGTATGCTCTTTATTCTTATTGAAACACCTGTATAAACCATAGGGAATTTTACTGTATGTAAATTTAAAAATAAAAAAAATAGAGAAGGTATTAGTAACGGTTACCTGGGATTAAATTTGAAATGGTAAGAGAAGATCAGTTAAGAAAAGTTATAAATAAATGCCAGTCTGAACTTTTTTCCTGTGCTTTCAGTGAATAGATTGCTATTGTGTCATTATGCATAACCATTGTAAGGCTTCTTGCCCTGCCCTGTTGTGATGGTAGGAAATACTGGTAATATTAAATTCCTTTGAAAGTCCTTCCAGATAAATAATTTTCAAGCCCAAAGTTGCTTTAGATGTCAGCATGCATGCTACCTTATAATGTGACAAAAATGCTATGTTAATTATGGGAGGTGAAAATAGGAAAAGTGATTCTCAGACATGGAAGACTTACTATGGAGCACTAGAAAGTTAAAATAAAGATGTCCATTTTGTCTTTTGTTATCCTAACATACTCTGTGTTAAAATTTTTGGCACTATTATAATACTTTCTATGCTTAAGGTCAGAGGCCATGTCTTATATTTTGTGTCCCTGTTTATTTAGTACCTTATGTTTATCAAATAACTTGAGGAAATGTTCTAAAAGTAGAAGGATCAAGGATGGGTGAATTATAGATCTTGATTTTGCTTCTGGAACATTTTGTGTCTGTGATTGCCAGGTGTTTAGGTTTTTCTACGGCTCCTCCAAAGTCTGCTTTTTGATTGGTTCAATAGGAACATTGTCATTAGGAATGAATGTTACTGATTTTACAATGAATGCAGAACCTTGGGATTAACATTATACACAACTTTAGATTTCAGATATTGTAAGCAGATTTTAGAAATTTTAGAAATTTCATTTTGGTAATTGGGTCCCAGTCTAGTGGTGATAAGTTTATAGTTAGTAAAGTGATATTTTAAATTAAATATAATTAAGTTATAAATGTATCAAGATTTTAGACATTGCAGACATTAGCATTGAAAGGGATAAGCTTTTGGATTGTAGTTCTGGAGAGATACATTTCTTATTAACCTCAATTCTATTCTTATCTGGCCCTAACAGTGTTAATTATATAAGCAGCATGCTTTGTCACCTATTGCTTGGTGGTCTTATTCTGATTCTTAAAAAACTGGTGCAAAAGCTTCTCAGGAAGGGTGCCTGTCTCATAAAGTCTCTAAAGGACTCAAGTACATTGGGCAAATTGTATTATCATCCCTCAGGAAAAGAAATAAAGGGCAGTAGACAGAAATGACTACTGTGCATGTGATAATTACTTTGAAATGAGGAGAGAAAAAGATGTGAGAAAATATGGCTCTTTCAATACTTAACAGAGTCTTAAAAATAACGGTCCAAATTTTATCTTCTGTCAGAGAAACAGTTATCTTTGTTTAGGTCACTTACAGAGCATTACTAACTAAACAAAATCACACATTTGGGGCATGCCTGTGGATAGGTATTCAGTGTTGTTTTTGTACTTTTGTACATTTCAGGTCTCAGCGTGTTTACCAGTGGTATTAAGAGCATGGACACTGAAGCAAGATGGCCTGTATTTGAATCCTGGCTTTGTTATTTAATGTCTCTGTGGCCTCAGGCACTTAATTTAACCTTTTTCTCTCACACAGTACTTACCTCATAGATTGGTTGCAAATATTAAATAAGCAATGTTTATTATGTTAATATGTTTCAAATACTTAGAATATTGCCTGAAGTCTGTTAAGAGCTGTGTAAGTGTTACATATGTAAGGTAACAATGATAGCTACTACCAGCACTATTATCACCCCCACTAGACCAAAATCACATATGTTATTTTGAAACTTCCATGCTAAAGTCATGAAACCAAATAGTTTCATGCAAGGAATGTTGAGTAGATTTAAATCTCAAGAAGGACAGTTTTTGTTATTTTTTCCCTCAGTTTAGGTACTGTGATAGAGTGGAAGAGATGTACCAAGCATAGGCATTAGGCTGGCTTGAGTTCATGTGCTCACTATGCTGTGTATTTCTAGTTTGATCATAGCTTATTTCTTAAACCTTGGTTGTCATATCTGTAAAGGACTAAGACCCATGATGCTATTGTAATACTGAGATCTTTTTCCACTGTATCCCTAGAGTCTAGCATGATGTCTGGTTATATAGTGGGAACTCAGTTGGGAACTGAGACTTATCCCCTCATTTCTTCTATGTCTGTCTGTGGGGTGTGAGAGTGTATATGTTTATCTATGAGTATTCTTCCCTTGTAATGACTTGTATGGGGGTTGCTATGATGGAACTTGATCCACCTAAGGAGTGACTCCCCCCAACTTAACCGGATTGATTAGCCATAATTGGTATAAATCATTTTTAGGAACATCTTTTTTTCTTCCATTCTTGCATTTCTTAGAAAACTCATTTATGGTGTGGTCATCTAAGAGGTAGATTTTATTCCTGTTTTTTTGTAGAGACATTATAATCAGAGAACAGGTGTTTGGATCAGTTTACTTCAAGATGTACTTCAGTTATCTTGAAGTAGTTTGGGCAGTTGAGTTCAGTGATAGTGGCACTGTTGTTGGAATACCACCCTCTTTGTATCTTTTCATTCATGATGCTATTGTTAACATTACTTCATATGATCCTTTTCTCTGTACCTCCACTTTCCTCCCATCAAAATCATTTGGTAAAAGTGCCAAAGTGAAAATATTGCTATGCTTTGCTCCAGAGAGTGCTTATGTATGTCTGGGGTTGGGCCCAGGAATATATAGGTGATCAAAGTGTATGATCATTTTATCTTTCTTGTAAAAACCAATAGAAAGATCTAACTTTTCTCTGAATAAAGGTCTTGATAAATCAAAGATGGTATTATTTCCTTCTTGTAGCTGACTTGGTCCACATGTTAAGGTAGGTAGGCATTTTTTAAAAAATTCTAAAGCAGCTTGTTTTGTTAAAGCTTTAAATAAGCAGCTCCTCTTTTGAGACTTATCCTTAGTCCATTCTCAAGGTATGAAAAGTATCGGACAGCATTGATTATGTGCTAGAAATTGGGAATATAAAAGGTATCAGTAGTTCAGGGAGATGACAAGTACTTAATGAGTTGTGCAGAATAAATGTTGCAGGATTAGCTGCTGAAAGAATATTGTTAATGATACTTGACTGTTGATTTTAGCCCTGCAGTCAGATAATTTTTGTGAGTTTCTTGCCTGAAGATTGAATAATACATTAGAAAACATTAGATTATTTCAGATTCTTTTTAGAACTTGTAAGTCTTTTTTAGGACTCTTACTATGAATAATGGAAATATGCCAGAATTAGTACATGCTGTGTCAGAAAATGACATGCCTCTATTTTAGTGGTATTTCTAAATAGGAAAAAGACACAGATACATTAGCTCTCTGGTTACTGTTTGGTCACTCCAGTTTTCTGTTCTCACCAGTTAATGGATGCAATCTAAGCAGAATCTTAAGATTTTAAGCAGTTTTTGGAAGATTATTTGATAGACTTGAACTGAGCATTTCAAAGGACATTGCCCAGGGGTCTGTTGAGACTCATGAATAACTAGGATAGTAATTTTAGGTACACTTGACGTTTTGTTTACTTTTAATGCTCTCTGTTATCCTAATCCTTGTGAACTCTTACCACAGCCATGTAATGAATTTCCCTGTGATTAAGAGTAAATATATGTAAACAAAATTAAAAATAAAACAACATTAAGCACAGTGATCAGTGTAAGCAGAGTTCTCTGGAGAACAGAAAGAAATGATTAATGGAAGTGAGGATAGATAAAAAGTTTAATGAGGTTGGGAAAGTAGGTTGGGGCCAGAGAGTTGAATTAGAGTGGGAGAAACTGTAGCACGTTCCTGTGCAAAGAGAAATGAATACTAGGGAATTTAGTAGCAGTGCTACTCATAGTTGACCTTACTCCTCTCAGAACATATTTATTGAGCCACTCATATGATCCATGTATATAATATGCAAGGTTTGATATTGTATCATCAGTATGTATTCCTGTTAGATGCTCTTTTTCATACTTATTAACCATTGTACATGCTAATAATTTTTGTCTGGAATAGCCTTCCCTTCTTTCGCCTGATGTATTTCTACTTGCTCTTTAGGACCACTAACTCCATTGCTTAGATTTTCCGGTTGTCTGGCAGAATTAGTAGTGTGTTTTTTCTGAGTTTTTATAGCCTGTGAACTTGTTTTTTAATTGTATTTTTAAATGTACTATTTAATGCATGGTTTTCTCTTGCTAAAAGTTCTACTAAGGCAGAGACCTGTACGATATTTTTTCTCTCCCATTTGTGCTGTAGCCTTAAATCTAGAATGATATAATGTATCTTTGATATATTTATCATGTGTTTATTGAGTAAACAAAGGATACCCTTTGCTTTTCTCTGCTTTTTTTTTCTCTTACTGTTTTATGGCCCTCTGTGTTCCTAAGAATAAATGTAAATTGCATTAAAATGGAAATCTCCATTGAGCATAGCTTCTTCACTCTTAGTTCTTTTCCCTGTATGCAAAGTTTTCTTGTTTATTTTTCACTGACCTCTTCTGATCTAAAGTTAATTTTTCTTCTTTAAGCTTTTTTATTTGGGGAACCCCTTAAAGTACTTTGTGAAGTATTGTTTAAACAGTACACCCCTGAAATATACACACACATATATGTATATATACATAAAACCACCAACATATTTTGGAGTGAGCTGGGTGAGGGAAAACAAATGTAATTTGGAGATTAAAATCTTCAGTGTTAGCATTATATAATCATAGCCTGGTATTTTGGGGGAAGTTAATTGGACTGGGGTTTGAAAATTTGAGTCAACTTTGAGGAAGAGATGAGGAGAAAATTTTCTCCACTATTTTGATAGAAAATTTTATGTAACCTATATCAAGGCTTTTCATTCTCCTGTAAATTGTTTAAGGATTTCTTGTTTTTCACTTTTTTGTTTTGCATGTGAATGTGAGTAGAAGATTGGCATAGTTACACTAAAAATTGTAAAATGTTTTACAGGCTTGCTAAAAGGATATTATGGCTATAAACTAAAAGAAAAACAAGAAGGATGGATTGGTTCATGAATCTTATTTACTTAAATTGTTCAGATCTTTTCTGCTATCAGAGAAAATTAGGTTGGTTATAAGGTTTTTACAGAAAAATTTCTTCTAGGCTTATTTAAATATTTTATCAACTGAAGTCTGTCAGGAATGTTAGAGATAAAGGAGATATATAATGCTCTTATGTAACATTTCACATATCTAACTTATTTGGAATTCAAATGTATCATTTATCATTTTAATATATTAATATTTAGTAATATTTATCCTCCTTTTATTTTTTTACTTTTAGCAAAGTGTGGGATGCTGTCTCAGGAGATGAATTGATGACCCTGGCTCATAAACACATTGTCAAGAGTGTGGATTTCACACAGGTATCAGAAAATGAAATTTATTTTAGGGAGTTAAATTGCTGCTGTTATACAGTGTGTCAGTAGTTTTTTATTTGATTGGTTTGTATATTTGGTTGATAAATCTTTTCATGGAATATTTGGTTTATATTTTATTTGACTATATTGGTTTATATTTTATTTGACTATAACTACAAATTCGTTTTTTTGTGGTTAATCCTATGAAGCTTTTAAGATACCCTGGGACTCTTTTACCAATACTCCAGTAATAGCAATAAGTATCTAAAAAGCCCAAATAACTTTTTCCCACCTCTTTCAGAATGGAGAAGATAAATTTGAGATCATCAAAAAAGGGCTTCTTAGGAGGTAGAGGAACAGGATCAGGGCAGAATGGGGGAATTCATGTGTAGGTAGTATAGTGTAACATTTTTGTACTAGGAAGCTTAAAGGGCTTGGCAATTATAAGAAGGGCAGCTGTTCCACAGTGTCTTCTCCAGAAGTCATTGGTTATGTATTGCATCTCTTTGTGATGTCTAAGCTATATTTGGATTTTATTTGGTGTTGAAGTTTTAAAGAGAGCTAGCTATTAAAATGGTTAATCTATTGACATTTTACTTGTATTTTCAGGATAGTAATTATTTGTTAACTGGGGGACAGGATAAACTATTACGCATATATGACTTGAACAAACCTGAAGCAGGTAAGTGTAATGTATGCATCAGTTTGTGATTTTACTTTTCTTTTAATTTAAATAACTTTTACTCATTAAAAGATTTCATATTCAGTACTTAAATTTGGAAAATAAATTTAGTCACAAAGACGAAAATTAAGACATAATCCATTGGTTTTTGCTTCATATTCCTCCAGCCTTTTTATTTTCCGTGCAGATATTCTTTTTAATATGAGTTTATTTGCTGCATTGTTTTTGTATAGCCTCTTACAATCTGAAAATTTTGTCATGGTAAATTTTTATCATGGTGTTAAGTTTAAAAAGAGTACAGAACTGTGTTCCTGCCTTTTGATAAGAAAGAGTGGTTATCTGTAGAAGGTGACGATAGTGAGAATTCTCAGTATGTACATACATTATTTAGATTTTTGAACCATGTAAATGTATTAGCTATTCAAAACAATTTTTTTTTGGGGGGGGGGATAGTCTCACTCTGTTGCCCCGGCTATAATGCCATGGCATCAGCCTAGCTCACAGCAACCTCAAACTCCTGGGCTCAAGGGATCCTCCTGCCTCAGCCTCCCAAGTAGTTGGGACTACAGGCATGTGCTACCATGCCTGGCTAATTTTTTCTATTTTTGGTAGAGATGACATCTCACTCTTGCTTTGGCTGGTCTCGAACTCCTGAGCTCAAACGATCTGCCCGTCTTGGCTTTCGAGAATGCTAGGATTACAGGCGTGACAAAACAATTTTTTTTTAATTTGCAATGACAATTTTTTTATGTCACTAAATATTCTGTCAACTATTTGTCATGACTTTATTGTTCTCCATTCTATAGATACATCATAAGTGAATTAACCAGTTTCTTATTATGGCCTGTTTGGGCTATTTACAAATTTTGAATTTTAAAAACAATATTATGCTAAACATCCTTATGGTTGGAAATACTTTCACAATGGTTTCCTTTAAGATAACTATGCAAACGTAGAATTGTTGGGACAAAGAGGAATAGAATTGTTGGAAGCCATTGATAGATATTACCAAAGTATCATCCAGCAAAGTATAAATATATAACTATGGCCAACCTGTTCTAGTGAACACTGATAACTAATTTTATCTTTGTCATTTTGATAGAAGAAAATGATTCTATTGTATTATTGTGAAGTTAAAAAGTTATTTATAAGGCTAAAATGCTATTGAGTAGCATTTTAATGTATTTTCTCTTTTATGAAATAATAACCTATTCATGCCCATTGCTCATTCATCTGTTGTGTTGTTCATCTTTTTCTTACTCATTTTTAAAGTTTCTTTATTGCATTCTAATTTGTCATTTGGTTTTAAATTTTGTCACTGTGGCTTTATGGTATATACCTTCAAAAGGTTTTGGTAGTAAAATCTATCATTTCTTTTATGAATTCTCTTTCATCGTACAGAAGTTATGGGTGTCTTCTCTTCCCTAGTCCATATATTCACCTTTATTTTATAGCATTTTAATGATTTCCCTATCCATATATGTTTGTACATATATTAATATACATATGTACACTCAAAAAACTATCAAAACATGATAAACAGACTTTTATTTGTTGTCTATTTGTTGATATCTTTTAAATTTTATATCATGGGCATTATCTACTCATAAATCTATAAAATTTAAAAGAGTAGTAAGAAAATTAAAACTACATTGGAAGGCCGGGCAGGGTGGCTCACGCCTGTAATCCTAGCACTTTGGGAGGCCGAGGCGGGTGGATTGCTCAAGGTCAGGAGTTCGAAACCAACCTGAGTGAGACCCTGTCTCTACCAAAAATAGAAATAAATTAATTGACCAGCTAAAAATATATATACAAAAAATTAGCCGGGCATGGTGGCACATGCCTGTAGTCCCAGCTACTTGGGAGGCTGAGGCAGTAGGATCGCTGAGCCCCGGAGATTGAGGTTGCTGTGAGCCAGGCTGACGCCACGGCACTCACTCTAGCCTGGGCAACAAAGTGAGACTCTGTCTCAAAAAAAAAAACTACATTGGAAATTAAGCAATTATTCTTTTGAGGTACTTTCCATTTCTGAAAGTGTTTCTAAGGTAAGGAAACAGAGTGCATTTTCAAATTTTTTTATTACCACCTAGAAGTTTTTTCTGCATTCTTTTTTGATAATTTTTTTGCCACAGTATAGCAAAGCACTGTGACCTCACTTAGTCAGTGAACCTATCCAACAAAGCAAGATAGTTCAGGGCTTGGGTGGACATTTTTGAAAGTTACTCTTCCACTGTGCTGGCAGTAGAAATGATAGTTTACTGAGGGTTTACTGTATGTCAGATAACATATTAAGCAACGTAGATATATATTCTCATTTGTAACTATTGTTATCTGATTTTTTAGGTGAAAAATGTAGTTTTCAAAAAGTTAAGCAACATGCCTAAAGGTCAAAGTAGTGTTGCACAGTGTTGACTCCAGCATCTGCCTTTGCCCAGAGTTAACAATGAGGATTTTTAAGTCTTTTGAAAGGATAATCGCCTTCAGAGATAGGTTCCTGGGTTTGTTTTTTTGTTTTTTTCTTTGGGATGCTTTCCTCTTAGTGTAGAAACTTTCCTGGGAATTGCTGTACTGCTTTCTATTTCCCATTTTTCCTTCCATCCCTTATTTCCCCCTATTTTCCCATTAGTTACTACCAATAGTAGCTTGGATGAAGGTCGCAGAGTTAGCAAAGTAGTACTAGAAATAGTTGAGGCTGTCTTATTTCCTGGGTTCTTGTTCTTAGTAAATTATACCACAGTAGTTAATCTTTTATTTCACTGTGGTACAGTAATGCTTTTGAATATTATTAGTTGTGCAGAAAGTTAGCCTAGAGAGAGTGAGTGGTGCATTCACTCAGCTGCATATAGCAAGTGTCATAGTTCTTGGGTTCCATATCATGCAGATACATTTCTGTTCCAGTATAGAAAAACTAGATATATTCTACGTAAACCACCAAATTTGAATTGTGCTGGGCTTTGAAAAGTTGCAGTCTAAATGAAAATATGGCTTTTTTCTTTTTATATATTTAAATTGTCCCAATATTGGTGAGTTTAAAAAATCAAATATTAACAAATATATTTTAAATTTTTCATCTGAAGAACCTAAGGAAATTAGTGGTCACACCTCTGGTATTAAAAAGGCTCTATGGTGCAGTGAGGATAAACAGATTCTTTCAGCTGACGATAAAACTGTTCGGTAAGTAATTTTTCTTTAATAATTTAAAATGTGAAAGGTATTTTACCTTACAGCTTATGTTTTAAATACTTTTTATAACTATTATGTGGGAAAAATTGCCTGAACATTAAAATTTAAGTTGCACACAAGTCACATTTATCTGGATCTACCTATACAGGTTGAGTATCCCTAATCTCAAATTCCAAAATCTGAAATGCTCCAAGATCTGAAACTTTTTGAGTGCCTACATAATGCTCAAAGGAAATACTCATTGGAGCATTTCAGATTTCAGGTTTTTAGATTAGGGATGCTTAACCAGTAAGTATATAATGCAAAAATTCCAACGTGAAAAAGTTCAAAATTCAAAACACTTCTGGTCCCAAGTATTATATTTTGGATAAGGGATACTTAACCTGTATGCATACGTAGCAGAAATTAGAAGAAAAAACTGTCATCTTTATAAGTAGGTATTCTTAATCTAAGGTCTGTAGCTAAGCTGGCTAAAAGGGGAACTATGAAGCCCCTGAAGTTCTACATAAAATTTTGTGTGCTGATACCTAATATATTTTTCCGTGGAAAGATATATAGCTCTCACCAGATTCACAAGAGCAGAGTATAAGAACCACTATTGAGAGCAGTTCTGAAATTAACTCGATTAGAATTTAAGTGTTTTAATCACATAGTTTTGCCAAGTTGAACGGGAAGAGTGTTAGGTATTAAAGTCCATTTCACCCACAAGCTACCACATAATTTGACATTGTATATAGAAACCCCAAATTCCTCTTTATCACCTGTAATTTGTGACTTGGAATGAATGTTGTTTTTCTACAATTGTGATTATTCTTTCATTGGTTAATCTGCAGATGTAATTTTTGTAAATGAATAAATATCACCATGTTTTCCTTTCTTTTTGCAGCCTTTGGGATCATGCTACTATGACAGAAGTGAAATCTCTAAATTTTAATATGTCTGTTAGTAGTATGGAATATATTCCTGAGGGAGAGATTTTGGTTATAACTTATGGACGATCTATTGCTTTTCATAGTGCAGTAAGGTATGTCTAAGAAATACCTTCATTTTCTTTTTTGGATAGTAAAGGACAATTAGGGTACTTAAAATTGGAATGTTTATGTTGAAAGCTATTTAATTTTTTTAAAGGTAAAAGAACCCCAGGATTGGTGCTGTAATTAATGTTCTTCACTATACATAAAACCACTGTGATCTTCATTCTCCTATTAATTTTCACTTTAAAATTTTAGAGAAGTGATGATTTTATTTGTTCCCAAGTATGTGCAGACCTAATGATTTAAGTTTTGCAACTATAAATATAGTAAATGCTGTTGGAGAAAAATTGGAAAATGTAACAATTGAAAAAATATTACCCATAATATTGTTACCATAGATGACAGAATGTCAGTGGTAGCTATATTTTCCGCTAGTCTTTTGCTATGTTATGTATATGGTTGTACAATATTTGTGTTTTTTCTTTAATTCTTCAATAACAATTATGATTTTGATTTATTTAAAAATATTCTTGGCCAGCTGGGGTGGTTTATGCCTGAAATCCTAGTACTTTGGGATGATCAGGTGGGAAGATTGCTTGAGCTCAGGAGTTCGAGACCAGCCTGAGCAAGAGCAAGATTCTGTCTCTACCAAAAATAGAAAAAATTAGCCAGGCAAGGTGGCACATGCCTATAGTCCCAGCTCCCTGGGAGGCTGAGGCGGGAGGATCCCTCAAGCCCAGGAATTTGAGGTTGCAGTGAGCTATGATGAGTGAGACTCTTGTCTCAAAAAAAAGAAAAAAAAATTCTTAGCCATTAAATCCTCCTTGAAAACATTTTTACTCTGTGTACCATATTACATTATAAGTTATACTAAAATTATGTGCCAGTTTCCCTGTTTTAGCACTTCTATGAGTATTATGGTGTATCTCTGTTTCCTTACAATAGGATCCTGTTAGTAGGAATGAGTTTGAAGTTCTTAGTTATACTTGACACTTAATTGATTTCTATAAAGATTTTACCACATTACACTTGGCCCAGTAGTCCTTACCTTTTGTCTAAGGGGCTACTTGTAGAGCTAAGCTTCACTGAGTGGGAGAAAGTAAGAAAAGGAAATAAATTGTATAAGAGCAATTAAGAATGTAAAGGAGTTTATAAAACACACAATGAATTGATAATAATAGAATACTGTTGCCCAGAGCTGTTAAATTGTACATCTGTATTAATGCTCACTCTTGGAGTTAGGCAACATGCTTGCTTTAGGCTGTTGCCTCAAATCACATGTTAGTGGCAGAGGTTTGCTGGCCTACCTATTTTAACATTTGAGCCAGCAAGTTGCTATGCAGTGATCCTGCATAAGTTATGACTAACTTTAATTTTCATGTTTTAAATTGTGTGATGATGGGAATAGGAGGGCAGCATTTAGGAGCTAGAATACTATAATGTTTTTGTATTGGAGACCTTTTCATGATTTTTAGGGTTAAACTGAAAAAGAGCTGGTGTCCAAATGCTAATTGATTTTGAAGTGAAGCTATTATTATGCATTGATTTTTATTATATAACTGTAGTTTCAAATTTAGTAGTTCTTTTACTGCCTGATAGTAAAAACTGAGTTGTTTTTAGCAGTTTCATATTTTATGACATGAAAGTTTCTTATTGCAGAAGCTTAAACCCTCAGCAATTGAGAATAACACACATATAATCCTTTATATTAAAGTAAGTAGTTACCTACTGTAAAACCTTTTTCTATTTACAAAGATAATGTATGTGTGCTTGTAGAAAAATCAAAACCATACTGATGAAATTTATTTAAAAGCAGAAACCCCCAATATATTATCTGTACTGTTTTAATTAGCCACCACACTCGTTTACAGGAGGGCATCCAGTACATGAAATGTAGATATCTCTTGTATCAAAATGTCTTTGTATTCCTGAGATGAACAACACTTGGTGTAGTATCCAGCTGAACTCTTGCTAACATTAGTTCTCTTACATCATTGCTTGACTAAATGAATATTTCATTGATCCTTGGATTTCAGAATTTAGGAATGGTTTAAATGTAACTCATTATTTCCTTGTATTGTTTATACTATATTCAAAATTTATAACTATTTGCCATTTAAATTTTTTTCTAGTTTGGACCCAATTAAATCTTTTGAAGCTCCTGCAACCATCAATTCTGCATCTCTTCATCCTGAGAAAGAGTTTCTTGTTGCGGGTGGTGAAGATTTTAAACTTTATAAGTATGATTATAATAGTGGAGAAGAATTAGGTGAGATGTCCTTTTTTTTCTCCCTTACAGTGATGTAGTTACCTTTATCAAATGGTTCCAGTAGATAATACCTCATTTTTTATATAACATGTTGAAAGCAGATTTTTCTGCTGACTAAAGCTTGGTGCTTACAAGTGACAAAGTAAATGAATTTTATTCATTTTGGATAGACATATTTATAGACCTATAAATAAACTATACTGACCTTAGTTTTTCCTTTTAACTGAAGTTCATCATTATGCTGATGTTCTGTACTATGGTGCAGTGATTTTTAGGCTTCATTGGTGAGGGGGCCAGTCTTATGTCAAAGTCACGTATTAAATATTAAACAGATGCAAGATTTATTCTTAAATATGGTACAGGTGTGTAACCCTGTCTACCTGGCTTCCTTCCCTTTTTGGCAATTTAGAAATCCCTAAGACTCTATAGAAAATAGTACTAGGTGAGGACAGTGGGGGCTATAGCATATTACAGGCATACCTTTAGGAATCAGAATTGGAGAGTTATTTTTGTCTGGTTTAATTTATGTTATTCTTTTTTGGAATTTGAGTTTTGCTTACATTTTCATGATAATTGTCCTTAGTGAAGGAAAGGAAGAGGCATGTAGTATTACTTTGAAGGTATTATATACATCCTAACTCTATATGATGGACCAGGTATTTCACATAGTTACATGTGGCTCTCAGTGTCTACTTTTTAACCCTCTCAAACAATTTTTGCTTTTGGTTCAAAAGTATATTTAGTTTTTGTAATTTTTTTTTTTTTTTTTGTCTATAAGCTGTCACTGTTGTTCTTGTCTGTTTCTAGCTGTTACCACTCAAAGAACTAATCTTGCTAAGAATTACACACAAAGAACAAAAGACAATTTTATGTTTTATTTCTTGGGGAAAACTGATAGATTTGGGTTGTACAAATGAAACTTGGTGAATGGACCATGTAGAATCTATTTTAATTGCTTATAGTTCAGCCTTTATTTCTTGAATATAAGTAACCTTTAAATAAGAGATTCATTTCTACTGTTTTAGTTTAATGCCTGTTTTTAAAGTTTTAGACTACTGTGATCACATGCCTAATTCTTTTTCAAGATGAGAGAACTAATTTATTTGCCTAAGATCTGAGGTCACAGCCAATACCAGACATGCCTAGCCATTCTCATTCCAAAATCTCATGTTCTTTCTACTCCTACAACTTTTTAATTCTCTGGTTGGACAGAGATGGGGCGTCTAACAGGAATACTGGTCTAGTAAAGAGTTCTGAGAACTGAGAGAGCAATGAGGCATTGGAAAGTATATAAGAAAGGTTCATAAATAAGGGTATGACTTAAACAGAACAACACTCCTAATCTGTACATTTTCTCATTAGGTTCCATAGATTAAAATATTTAAGGATCAGTATTGATTCTGTATCTCAACTTTCTGTGTGACAGAATGATTGTGGACTCTAGATAGCCTGGTAGGAAATTAAGAGGCAAAGCGTGTAAAAGAGCTCCATCTGGTGGCTGTATATAGTCATAATAAGAATTGGTTCCTTTGTAAATAGGTAATGAGTTTAGGATATGGAAATTGAGATTGAACTGATACACTGTAGATCTATATTCTGTAGAATTTATGGGGTTTTCATTTATCCCTCTTTTTTCTTCCTTAATGGAACATGAAGTCTCATTTTCTTTTTTAGAAAGACAATCTGAAACTAGAATGTGTGCTGGATTTGGAAAGGGATAATTTTACAGAGGAATTGTAGACATGATATACCACTTTGTGATGAGAATTACTTTATTTTTAATTAGGTACAATGTTTTGTATTTTCCCTTAGAAATTTTGCATTTCCCCAGTAATATAGACAGTACTTTTTTTAGCATATCAATACTTGATAGTTAAATATTTAAATTTCTAATGGTCCTTTTTTTTGTTTCTCAGAATCCTACAAAGGACACTTTGGTCCTATTCACTGTGTGAGATTTAGTCCTGATGGAGAACTCTATGCCAGTGGTTCTGAAGATGGAACATTGAGATTATGGCAGACTGTGGTAGGAAAAACATATGGCCTTTGGAAATGTGTGCTTCCTGGTAAGAATTTTTATTTGGAATTACCAAATTAAAAAATGCATTTTTCTTTGTTGTTTTTCATCATTTTATTTCAGGGTTTCTGCCTCTTACAGATTTTAAATTATGTATTAGAGGTTAAGCAAAAAAAAAAAAAGCCCACGATTATAAATTGGCCACTGTGTTCTTTTGTTTGTTTAAATTTTTTGGACAATCTATTCTGTTCCTAAATTTTCACACTAGCTCATTTGGTGAATGGAATGGGCCTTATTCAAAATTTGCTAGAGGGCAGTTTAAGAATTTATAACGAAATGTATCTAATCTCTGAATAGTATTACTCACTGAACCTTACCCATAAGATAGTCATTTTTTTTTGAGACAGAGTCTCCTTTGTTGCCCAGGCTAGAGTGAGTGCCGTGGCGTCAGCCTAGCTCACAGCAACCTCAAATTCCTGGGCTCAAGCAATCCTACTGCCTCAGCCTCCCGAGTAGCTGGGACTACAGGCATGCACCACCATGCCCGGCTAATTTTTCTATATATATTAGTTGGCCAATTAATTTCTTTCTATTTATATTAGAGATGAGGTCTCGCTCTTGCTCAGGCTGGTTTCGGACTCCTGACCTTGAGCAATCCACCCTTCTCAGCCTCCCAGAGTGCTAGGATTACAGGCGTGAGCCACCATGTCCGGCCAGTAGTCATATTTTTAATAAAAACACTAGGCACTAATCCCAAAGTAGTTGTATTATGAATCTAAAAGTCATTGTTGAAGAAAGACATAATATTTTAGAATCAAAATTATTTAAAACATAGTTGTTCCTATTATGTTTTGTAGCTCATTGCGTAGAATAGTCTTATCTTACTCTTCTTGGTTACTGAATACTAGAAATTACTTGTAATACTATAATTCACATAGTCAATCATCCTTGCTTTTCTTTTTGTAGAAGAAGATAGTGGTGAGCTGGCAAAGCCAAAGATTGGTTTTCCAGAGACAACAGAAGAAGAGCTGGGTAAGTACTAATGGATTGACTTTCATACGAGTCTTGGGGAATTTAAAATTGAAGTGTACATGAGTTTTACTCAATTGCCAAAATCAATTTATTAAACATGGACATATTTACTTAATGGGAAGTTTGAATATTATCATATACACACACACACACACACGCATTTATAAACTAAATATTTAAATACCTCCTGCATAGTAATAGGCACTGAGATATAGTATGGACATGACTGATGTGGTTGCTCTTACAGGGCTTAGAGTCTAACTTGGGAGACATACTGAAACAAATAAATTGTTACAATTTTAAGGGGAATTGGGAAAGCTTCCTAGGGAAATGACATTTAAACTGGGACCTGAGGATGAGCAGAGTACTTAGGTGAGGTTAAGGGGGAGTTTGTGTTGGTAGGCACAGGACAGATGAGTTCATAGCAGGAAAAAGAAAACATACTAAGGCTCAGAAGCAAAAAGGAGCACAGCATATGAGAAACTAAAAGAACTGTATCATGCCTCCAGGTTAAAGGACAAGGGTAGAGTGGGCTGGAGGAGCTAGATCATTTGAGGGCCTCATTAGCAGTATTAGGAATTGGAGAGTTTTATACTAATAGCAATAAGAAACGTTTGAATTTTAAGCAGAGGAATAATAATACATTTAAGTTTTTACAGATTCCCTTGGTTGTAGTGTGTAGAAAGAATTGGACCAGGGACAAGAGTGAATATAGACCAGTTAGGGGACATAAACTCTAATTGTAATAGAAGAAATTGGATGTTGGCTTGCACATATTCATTTTTAAAAAAACAACAGCCCATCGTACTACAGGAGCATAATTCCACCTGCCTTCATCTGTTCTTGAGTTTTCACTTACAGGTAACACCAAGTTAGTTGTTCCAGCACTGGAGCTAATTCATATTCCCCATTATTTACTGCTGTGTTTGCCTTAAGCAGAGAATAACTCTGGAAGGCTAATGCTTTTCTCTGTTTGTTGTTTAAGTCCATAAGTTGTATACTATCTGTGGCATATGTTTGATGATCAAGCTTTAACTTCAGGAGTTGAAGAATAGATGGAATCTGAATTCTCTGAAGCAATTTCTTCTACAAGTAAAAACAGAAAGTCACATCAGTCAATTTAATAAAGGAAAGAAGCAAATCTACATTTCTGTGTATTGAAGAAATAAAAAAAATTTAAAGCAGACTGGGGTGAGGGGTAAGAAGGGTGCAACTCCATATGCCATTAATGACTACACTCATACAATTGAGAAAGCAAGAAAGAAAGAGTTCATATGTTATATCCACTAAATTCTTTTACACCATGATTTAACCTCCAATGGTCCTCTCTTCTGGGCTGAATTTTCAATGACTCCAGATATCCAATGAACACCTCTAGTGATCAAAATCCTACTATTTTTTAGTGCTATTCATATTGAAACATTAAACATCAAATATTAAGTTTTAGCAAAAGCTGCTTAATAAAAATTTAAGGAAAACTCTAATTGGTAAATGGTAAACCCCATTCCAACCTCCTAAAAAATCATCATACCCAGTTTCTCATGCTAGCAATCTGTAATTTTGCTTATTATACTCCCATTCAACAATCTAATAAAATTACCAAGTCTTACCAAGTCTACCAATAAAGACTCTCAACTCCATCTACTTTTTTCTGTTCTCAATGCCATTCCTTTATTCAAAACCACATGATCAG